TGCCCGGAAATCGTCGTGGGGGGTGGTGACGTGGCGTCCTCTACGGTACATGCAACAGAATTTACCGTCACTGCCAAATCCGGCACGAGCGTTAACGCATTCCCACCGTACGATCCGTCCGGGGCGATCATGGCCGTCCAGATAAGTCTGAACTTCATTTGGTAGGCCCCCCAGCAAGCCAAATGAAGTTCGGATTAAAATTCAAGCCAATCACAGCCCGCCATGTCAGACCCCGCGGAACTCAAAGGTGTGATGTTGTCCGGGAGGGCCGTACCAGGGGTCGAAACCTGAAGTCGGAGCCGGTACAGACCCAATGGGTACCAGTCCAATCACCGGGCACTCGGGGACGCGCGTACGGTCCGCATGCATGATCAATGTGACACAGCATGAAGTGAATTGTTCCAAGTCCGGTCAATTAGCTGCGCCTCTAGCGTGATTTGACAAAATTCATTCATGCACAAGCCCGAGCTCAGATTTCCGGCGGGCCAGGCATGCAATGGCTTTCATTGCAGTCGTTTGGAGAAGGAATCTGTACATGAGCCATTAATACACATATGAGAAACTCATAGTATGGATTTAGTCGCTTGAGAATGTACCTTTTATAACTTGACATACAAAATTGCACGTAGATTTATATAACTGCAGGTCGGTCAGATTCATGAAAGCTTTTCAATTGAGTTATGCCGAAATGGAATATTTCATGTTGGGGATGACAAACCATGTGTAACAACAAATTTAAGGGGAGCTTCATGATATCGGCATAGCTCAACTTGCCAGTTGACCGGAGCCACAAGAGTGACCATCCACTGATGACTGTACATGGAGGGTCCTGCTGAACATTAAGTGAGGGTCATAAGCTTGCTTTGCAGCAAATGGAGTAACAAAAGATCGCAATAAGAAGCAGCATTTAAAATGAAAGGTTCAGGGGCTTTGTAGCTTGCGAGCCAAACACAACGTCCTCATATAAACAGGTACTCCGGAATGTCATAAACCGAAACCATTGCCTGCCTCAAGGCCTTTGACTTCACACAAAATCTAACCAGCTGGCCGTACTCGCCGCGTAGTCGTACAGCAACTGCGAGATCTGCAGCGATACTGGATGAGACTCAGGCCTTGACCATCGGAAGGAAGCTTGCGACTATTGAAGAGGAGTAAAAGGGGTAAAGTACGAACGATTGCAGCGTCAAAACCTTCTGCAATGCTTCTGCGACCTCACGCCGGTCCGGAATGTCAGCCAGAGCCAGGGTCAGGGCTGCTGCGCTGACAAAGACCATCAAGTACTGCTTGCACAAAGCTTCCAAAGCTGCAACCGGGTCCGTGGATCTCAATACAATGTCCTGCACGGACAAAGACAGGAGACGAGTTCAAGGCTTCTGAAAGTAGACATGACATGCTTCTTGTTCTACATGCCAAAAAGCAATTGTAACAAGAGAGATGCCGCACAAGAACTTGAGGTCCTTAAAAGATAAATTGGCTTAGCTTGACAAGCTTTCCAGAAGCTTTGAGCCTCCCTTGCCACATGCATCAACAAGCTTACTTTGCCGGATGCATCAATAAAGTACTCACCAGTAGGGCTTCCGCGTCCATCACTAGATAACCATATCCGTCCGCCCGCTGTTGTTCTTCGTCCACTCGTTGCTTGAGGCTTGCCGCGAGCTCCTCATCTACAAGACGAACTTGATTCAGAATCTACAAACCCAAGTACCTCAGCAATAGGTCCACCACCTTTGGAGTAAAGATTGCATAATTACACCAACATCGATTTCGGTTCAACGAGGGTTCTCCAACATTACCTCTTCCTAACTCTCAAAAAGCAAATCACTTGAAGATCATCGCACGAGCTCTTGACTGAGGCGGTCTTTACCATGCAGAAAAACGGAACTGTCTCCTCACCCCGCATGACCTCCTCGTAACCAAGACCTTCAGGATCGCCTCCAGCTCCAGAATCCTCTCCCTCAGGACCAGTGGGGGCGGCATAGGTGCTTCTGGTCGGTTCTAAGCACATTGACATGAAATGAATTTGTTAGAAACTTCAGAAACATCTCTGAAAGCGTACAAGGCCATTGCAATGAAAACAGCAATATGCAAGAATTCAAATGTTGGAGCTGTACTCCACATCTTCAGTAGCAAAAGGAGAGATGTTCGAAGATAGTCTTGGTTCCTGTTAAGCACCCTGTGCGCTGAAAAATGCAACTCGGTAAGTAACTTTCAGATCAAGGTATGCCTAAATATAGCGAAGCCGAAGAACACTCACATGCAGAAAAGAATTGACCACCGTTAAGATAGGGCTGACCACTTGCAGAGCCAGCAAATAGAGAGGCAGCTGCTGCATATCCTTTGAACTGATGTTAGATATGTATCAAAGTTTGCAAACAGAAAATGAGACAACACCCTTCAAGTTTCATTGTATCTTCTCACTGGTTTGAGGCGTGGTGAAGAAGCCACCGCGTGTCTGATTGGTTGGTGAGTCGTCGATGAGGTTGGTGGCCCAGCCTTTGCATTCTGTGATACAAGTGAGTACAATCAGCCCGTGCATAATCACCGTCCTTGATGAGGGACAGCTAGATGACAAGCTAGCCAACGCCTCTATTGTTTGGTTCTTCTGTGTAAATAAGGACGACAATCGACTAAGAATTCATAAACCTCAGCAATAGTACACAACCTTGAGAGCACATTGCACGTTAAGACCAACGTCGGATTCCGTCTAACAAGTGTTCACTTTAGTTACTTCTTCCTCTATCTTACAAAATGCAGATCAGTTAGGGATCATTCCACCGATTGCTGGCTGAGGTGATCTTTTATCTTTCAATTATGCAAAATAGGAAATCGTCTCCTCACCCCGCGTGCTCCGGTCCTCGGTACTAGTATCTTCAAAGTCATTTGAAAGAGGAGAATCCTTTCTCCTACACTGAGAGGCGGCGGCAAGGGCAGCAACTGAAGCAGAATAAACAAGAACGGTTGTCTGAATTTTTAGAGCGCCTTTTAGGAAGGGTTTCACGAAAGTCATTGCAACCAGAACAACAGCGTACATTTGAATATGCTCGAGCTGTATTCTAAATTGTATTCCTTAATAGAGGAATCACTGAAGATAGTTTTGTTCAGGGTTGACAGGGAGAGATGATGGGACACCATCTTCGGGGCACTGATTTGACCTACTCTCAAGATTGCTCTCTATCTGCGAAGCACCATGTTTGTCGAGAGATGCAACTCAGACGAGTAACTTCAGATAAAGCTATGAATAAATCTATAAGGCAGCCAAAGAACTTTCCTCTGCAGATATGTGACCACAAGTAACATACCTAGGGCTGACCACTCGCAGAGCCAGCACATACAGGGGCAGCTGCTGTTGCGTAGCCTTTAAAATGATGGTAGACATAAGAGTTTGCAAACAGAAAACGAGAAATAGCCTTCAAGATTTGTCTCACTTGCGGTGGACTTCTCGTAGGAGCCGGGGTTGAATGTCCAGCCTTTGGCATCTGCAAAACGAGTGAGTACGATCAGCCCGTGCGTACAGCGTACTGTCCTTGATGAAAGGACAGCTGAAAGATGACAACTTAATCAACACTTGTGACTGGTTGGTTCTGTGTATGTTACCAGAGTCTTTCACTCAACTAGTGCCACCCCCCCCTTCAAACTTGAACTCACCATGCTGGGGGGATTGTGGGCCTCTTATAAGGACCTGCTGAGCGAGAGAACATTTCAGTACAAAGGATAGCACCAGCAGGACTTTCTCCCACTAGCAGTATGCATGAAGCTAGGAAGCTTTCAGATCTTAGCAATGATTTCTAAGCCAAATCTTGTAGTGAAGCTGGAAAAGAAAACAAGATAGCTTGATCTGTAAATCAGGCAGAATCTGTGATCAAACACACTCACCTCTTCTATCATTTTGATATTCTGGCTGGCACGAGGACAAAGTCTTCCCTGCAAAGAAATGGGGAGGGATTAGGAAAAAGGCTATAGAAGGTTGAGAAGAAAGCAGGTCCAAAGCTTCCTATTTCCCTTACTAAGAACTAAGCAAATCTGTGATACCATTGAAGAGGAATGCAACAAAAGAACCGGCACTCACCTCAGACGTTTGCATTTTACCATTAGCAAAAGCAGATCCAATCGCGTTGGAAGCCCCAACTCGCAGAGCGGTAGCCATGCCGACACGACGACACGAAGTGGAACTTGAAGTTTGAAGATACAAACCTATGCGCTCCGCACCCGTACCCCTAACCCCTAAACTAACCCCACCCGTCCCTGGGCGCTGACCGTAACTTGGGCCCTCGACCCAAGAGATGGACTATCGAACGGTCCAAATTCACAGTACATGCAGCTTGGTCAAGTACTGGGTTACAGCCCTACCGGAATTTGGTTACCGCTCTCCCACGTGGACACTTCTATAATTATTTTTAGCTCGGTTTAGGGTTGAAAACCCTAAAACCGAGGTATCGCATCGTCCACTGCGGGACACTATTCTAATGTCGAACGAAAATGCTCGATTTGGTAGTAGGTTGGATCGACGGGCCTGGAGTCGATCTATCGAACGGGGCAAAAGTTTTAACTTTTTTGTCCCTCGTGCGAACGATCTTTTTTTGGGCCTGGGCGGTTGTTTCTAGTCACTGTTTCGACGGCTCCGCGTTTGTCAGACCAGTTTACGGTCGCCGCGCGCTGATCTTATTCGCCGCTGGACCGCCGTTGCCATTTTTGCAAAAAAGCGCGACCGGGGCGTTTTTAATGATTTCTGACACATTTGTCCCACTGGAATAGATTACAGAGAATACCTTTTATTTTCTAGAATATACGCCCGGTTGCTCCGAAGACTGCAAACCCCCCGGAGCGGTTGAGTAGTCCGTCAATAGAGCCAGACTTCCGCATGAAGCTGACTTACAACTGGATGGTAATATTCTGGGGGGAAGCGAGGTGCGTAGGTACCGTATGCTGGTTCCTAGCATGGTACGGTACGTACCTTGAGTATACCGGATAAAGCAACATGCAGATATAAAATGCTAAAAATATAGTCCGACCATACCCGGTAGGCAGCCAGCTGTATTGAACTAGAAAAGCCACCGGATCACCGAG